ATTTTTTACTAATTATATTAGTGAGATTGTAGAGAAAACAAAAAGTAAGTTGTGATGAATAACATTTTTTTATAGACAAACAAATATTTTATTATCAGTTTCAATTAGTCAAATTTTACTAGACAAATACAAATGTTAATTTTTTCTATCCAAACACTATTGCATTGGACTTGGAACCTATAATTTTCAGAATCAGCAACTCAAAAACTTAGATCTCCATTAAACCCAACATACAAACTCAATTGAGATTTCATTATAAAACTAAGTTTATATATTGGACTTGGAACCTATAATTTGCCGATGTGAGATTGAGTTTGCACACCCTACAAACCTCCCATCAAACAGTACAAGACCACATTGGGTCTTCCCTTAAACGAAATTCATACAATCCGACCATCTTGTACCGATGTTATCACCCACGAAACCCGCCGTCTGACCACCCTTTCGCCATGAAGACTTTTGACACAAGGCACAAGGATCCACTGGCCGTCCACCGGCTCTACGGAGGAACATGTCACGTCATCGACATTGCAATTGAGCTACCAACCGTGGCTCTGATACCAATTGTTAGGATCAACAACTTAAAATCAAGTTCTTTATCAAACTCAACATACAAGCCCAAATTAAGTTTCATTCTAAAATCAATTGACAACAGAAGGAGTAGTCCACTAAACTTATATATTGGAGTTAGAACCTATAATATAATATTTAGGATTGCCCACCCTACACTCATTTCATATATTAAAATAATATTGTCTTGTATCCCACAAAATAAAATATATTTTTATGTATCAATATAAATATCAGACCAATAAATTTTGTATACTTTGAAATGACATACATATACTTATGAGTCGTATACTAAATTATTGTGTGCCACGAAATTAAAATCAACATTTTATTCAATAATAATAATTTATTGCATTTATTTTTATCATATAACCACAAATCAGATTTAAGATGGTAATAATGACAATTGTTAATATATGTGGTTGTGATCACACAAAAGAGTGCTTGATTAGTTGTTGTTGTTGTTATTATTATTATTATTATTATTATTATTATTATTATTATTATTATTATTATTATTATTATTTAGAGAGGTCATTTTACTAAGTAGGTGATGGATAAAGCAATAGCCTTTCTTCTTCAAAGATGTGAATGATTATCGATCATTGGGTTATGATAGAAGTTTGCTTTCATTAAAAAGCAGCAATTAACCATTATGGATGTAGTTAAGTACAACTTCCACTGGATTGACATATTCTTCTGGGCAATGCTATATGTACACCCCTTTTTAATAAATTACACAAAGAGCAATGCTATATGTACACCCCTTTTTTACACACAAGGGGGTGTACATATAGACACCCCCATTCTTAATCATTTGTCATTACACATAGGTATAGGCTTATTATTTATAAGGTTGATGTGGGTTTTAATTATGTTCTTCAGTTGTAACTAGATAAATATAATGGATAAGCATAGTTTTTTTTACCCGGACGGCTCGGCGGGTCGATCCAGAGCAGGAACCGGTCCCGGTAGGTTGTTTGGACCGAGCAACAAAAAACCCGGTCAAACTCGATCAAAACTCGATTTTGACCCGACCGACTCGGTGCATTGGTCTCGTTTCGAGTTTTGAATGATTTAATATTATTGATTGTTTGTTTTGAACAATGTTTAAGTACTTTACCTCATTTTTTATTTGACGCTATCAAAATTTAAGAGTTAAATTTTAGTGAAAATAGTTATTTTCACCCGTTTTGAAGTCCTACAAAATTTTTCACACCGTCTAACAAAAAGCTAAGTTTTTCATCCCAAAAAGTGCGAAGGCATTGTGCGATGAATATGCGACAATTGCGCGATGACATTGTGCGAAAATTAAAAGTGCGATGGCATTCGCATATCCTTCCCACTTCTGGGGTGAAAAAAAGTTAAAGTGTGAAAAGACATTGTGCGATGAATATGCGATAATTGTGCGATGACATTGTGCGAAAGTTAAAAGTGCGATGACATTCGCATATCTTTCGCACTTTCTGGGGTGAAAAAAATTTAAAGTGCGAATGCATTGTGCGATGAATATGCGACAGTTATGCAATTGATATGCGACAGGTATGCAGTCCATTCGCATAACCTTCGCACTTTCTGAGTTGAAAAAGTTAGATTGTTAGTGGACGGTGCGAAAAACTTAATATATCTTTGTATTGGGGTGAAAAAGATTTGTTTTTTTCTCTAAATTTTATATGCGGATTGGAGGCGTAGTATAAAGTGTCGGCTCCAAGGGGGAGACACCTTAGGTCCATGACTAGGGCCTCCCATTATTAGGGGCCTCAATTTTTTTTTTAAATATTTTATGTATTTATGTTTGGTTTTATTTATTTGCACAAATAAAAAGACTAATAACTAAATATAAATTTGGCCCATTACACAAATGAAGAGGCTAATTAATGAATGAGCAATAGCAAAATATATACTTTGGGTAAAAATTTGAGGCCCCAACTATTTATTTTGTTTTCTTATGATGTTCGGTCAGAACAATTGTGTAAGAATAAATATTTTTTGTTGTAATATGAATTTTATTTTCTTTTCTTTGTTGTCTTCGTGACTGCATAAATGCAATTGATAATTTATTAAAGGTAATTTTTCAATGTCTAGAAAAATAAGAAAAACTATTTTTTAATTATTTATTTATTTAATAGTCTTGTTTAATTAGACTTTTTCTTGTATGATTCTATCTACAAATAATTCTATCACGCAAATTCAAATCGGAAAATTCGAAAAGGTAAAATTTGTCTGGGACCTCCAAATTTTTGGAGACGGCATGTATAAATATATATGAATTTATTTTTAACCCTCAATTTTATCGATTTCAAAAGGAATAATTCTAATGGAACCCTAATTGAAACTGCAATGTTAGGTATTCTTCTTCTCATTGTCTATCTTGTGTGATTTTCATTTATTTTCCATTATACATAGTTGTTGTTTATTTTATTAACATGTTTAATTTATCATATATTCAATTATCTAAATAAAATGACACTATTATAATTTAGTACTTAATATTCCATTAATTAGGGCTACAGAAATTTGGGCCAACAAATTTCTGACCAGAAAACTTTAATCATGGCTATTATCATACCAACACTTATCCAACTTTGAATTCAGAAAATGCTAACTTATGAAAGTTTTCGGAAAATGAATTTTTTATTTTTTTTGTTAAATCGAGTTAATTTAGAAAAAAATAGTATGATTAATTTTTAGCGGAATTTTCAATTTATATTAAAATAATATTTATAAAATAATAATTAAAGTTGATTTGATGTAACATTAAGATAGATGTGATGCGAAGTGATGATTAGTTAAAATTAAATAATTGATTAATATTAGTTAATTATATTTATAATAATGAGGATAGTAGGGTTGAAGTAGATTATGAGAATTGATTGAAAAAAAAAATGTGAACAAACACCCCTAAGTGGTGTTAGATTTTATCGATGTTATTGAAAATAGAGAAAGTAAAATAAACACATGTAAAATAAATAAAATAAATATAGTATTTTTTTACTACACTATTATTAGAATATTCGTTTGTGAGTTGTTCCACATCGTTTATATAGGGAAAATAAGCCTTTTTAATAGTCATAATGATCTACTCCTTATTCCACCAATTGTTTTTTGGATGAAACACTTAGGCTTCATCTGAGTTTTCTCTGTCTTTGTGGGCCTTCATCTGCGTGGGAATGCACTCGTTTTTCTCCCGTTTAACAATCCATTAAATACAACCTCATAAATATTACATACGTGGCACCTAATTTTCTGAAAATTGATTTTGGTATTTAAGACAAAAATTGTTACATTTTATATTGATTGATAATAATTATATTTTTTTAGTGTATCATATAATAGTTATTATTAGAATTAATAATTACATTTTACACTAAAAATATATGAAAGTTACATAAACATAAAACATTATATTGTAAACTTTTTTGTTCAAAGTTTTTTATTCTAAAATCAATATTATATTTTTTTATCTGATTAAACGATTGTTTTTTAGATAAATTAATTTATTTTAATGTCATAGTAAAATATCTTAAGATCGCATAAGAAATTGTTATAGTAAATTAATATGTTTCAGCAAATTAATTAGTCATAGTATCTCAAATTATAAATAATATATTATTTATTACATTTCATGCAATTAATATAGTGATTCATATGCAACCAAGGTATATGATCAAATTTTAAAATACAATATCATTATATAACTCATAATTTTAATACTATATATGCATAAATGTAATTTATAATATTCTACGTATATAATTTAATAGTAACATTATATAACTTATAATTTTAACATATAAATAACTTATAATATTTTTTTATGTAATAAAAAAATATGATAAATTTACTTGTTGTATATAAAAAATTGATTCCATTATGGAGTTAACGGTTGATTTCGTATCAAAACCGTCCAATCACATACATTCAATTTATTAGACTAAACCAAACTACTTTGTACAGCTTCGTAGTCATCGCCCACACTCCTTCTTTTGCCATTTCTTCCCACTCCAAAGGTTCAATCTTTGTTTTTTCCTCAGTCTTTTGGTTACCCGTGGCGACTTTCGTACCTTCTCGTTTTCATCTCCGTTCCCAAGTCTACTTCGCCGCCCGGAAGATGGCTTCCGCCACTGGATCCGCCGTCGCAGCCTTCAAGCCCGCTGGTGTTTCCCATCGGAAAATCCCCAATTTCCGGAATGTGTCGGTGTTGCCGCCGTCCAAGCTCCCTGGGTTGCTAAATGTGCATTTACGACCAACTAGATCCTTTTCGTCGTCGGGTACGTGAAGGCTTCCCATGAAATTGATTCGCGTTTCATGTGTTTTTTCAGTTCGATTTATTCTGGCTTGGTTTTGCTGTGTGAGCTCTTTGTCAGGTTCGGTGACTCGTTTATATTAATCTTTATGTGGGTTGTTATGGTTAGCATCTTTATGGGTTGCTCAGTTTTTGAGGGATTTTGAAGATTGATTGTGATATTTTTGAAAAATATTGAGATAAGCCATTGTATTTACAATTGTCGCGGTGTTATGTCAGCTTGCTTTGATTATGTCAGCTTGCTTTGATTATGCTGCGTAACGAAACCACTGAAGGAGTTATCTACTTTGGACTGAAAATTATATGCTTTGATATAGTTTGCTCCATTCTTCTGATTTTGTGCTGTTTAGAATGAAATCCATTTACTGGCATAGTTTTGATGTGTGAGCTCGTTTTTGGTTCAGTGACTCCTTCACGTTAGTCTTGATGTGTGTTATGGTTAACATCTCTGTGGGTTGCTCGGTTTACGAGGGATGTTGGAGATTGATTATGATGTTTTGGAAAATTTTGACATAATCGTTGTATTTACTATTGTTATGTTGTTGTATCAGCTTGCTTTGATTGTGGTACATTTGGCAAAATTAATGTAGATGTAAATATGCTGTGTGATGAAACAACTAAAGGGGTTTGGATTGAAAAATGATATGCTTTGATATAATTTGCTCTATTATTCTGATTTTGTGTTGTTCAAAATGAAATCCATTTTAATGCCCAAGTGTGTGTGAGTTTGGTATTTTTGACCTCAGATTGAACAGTTTATTCATCTGCATTTTATCAAAAGTCATATATGGTACTAGTATATTGCATTACTCTCATCTTTGCTTAATGTTCGATGTTTTGATATTTTATGCTGATATTATTATTACTGTTATTATATGGGACTGTACATGCAGGCATAAAGGCTCAGGTTGCCACTGTTGAGCAAGTTAGTACTGAGACAGCACAGAAAGTAGAAGCTCCTGTTGTAGTTGTGACTGGAGCATCCAGAGGAATAGGCAAGGCAGTTGCTTTGGCTATTGGAAAATCTGGTTGCAAGGTCAAAATGACCACAAGAAGCTCATTTGTTTTCTTTCCTATTCTTTTTTTCTGACAAACGCATTAAATTTACTATTATTGTGTTGAAGTTTAAATTGCACCAGAAACTAACTAGCAATGTAGACACCAGTCGTGTTTTTTGTACTTTGCTCCTTTTTGCCTTCTTTGGTTTAAAAAATTCTGATATGTGTGTAAAGTACTTCAGAAGTTTGTATATGCTCATCCAGTTAGTGGTTGCTTGGACTCTTCCTAGCTTTCCTCGAGGGTCAAACCTAGTGATGATGATATGTATGAACACAAATTAAGTATAGTTGATAACACAAATTCGCTGCTCTCGGCTATAATTGAATCAGTGAATATGGAGTTCTATTTTGGTGTATGAAATATGCTATAATTATGTGAATCATATGTGGGAGGAATGGGAGAATTATTTCCTGTCACGACTGAAGAAACTGATTATGGCTTGATGATTGCAGGTTCTGGTTAATTATGCAAGGTCATCAAAAGAGGCAGAAGAAGTTTGCAAAGAGGTAAATGATGCTCTATGGACAAAGGAAAATCCTTAAACTATGACTAGAAGTGTCTGGATTTCTCTTGTCCCCATTTTTTAATCTGAAGTTCTTTAAACAAATAACTGTAAACTGAATGGCTGGTCTAAACTGTTTATACGAACAATTATTATTGTAAAAGACTGTCGTGTTGGAGGTCATTACATACACATGCCTGTGATTAATATGCTTGGTTGCTACTGTTCACTCTCTTGAATAGTTGGATCTATTTTGTTGAAAATTTAAAATTTTCATGTCTGTCCTTGGGTCTACATCTTGTTCTCATCTACCTACTACTCATTATTGTGTGCTTTCATTGACACTCAATACCTTTCTGTGTTGATTATAACCAAATTGATGTGGAAAACAAACTTTTTGCAAGAAATCCTATATTCTTTTGGTGTCCTGTTTCTTGCAGATCGAGGCATCTGGTGGAGAGGCTATTACTTTTGGTGGTGATGTTTCAAAAGAAGCTGATGTGGATGCTATGATTAAAACTGTGAGAGGATTATACTCTGTTAGTTTTCAGCTATACTCACTTCTGTTTGTTCTCCATATCATATGTTGTGTTGATATCTGCAGGCGGTGGACAAATGGGGAACAATAGATGTATTGATCAATAACGCAGGTAATAAAAGATTTTAATTTCGTATTTGCAGATCTAGTTTGTGTTTTTTTTCCTCTACCATATTTGGTATAACATCAGGTATTACGAGGGATGGTTTGTTGATGAGGATGAAGCCAACTCAATGGCAGGAGGTCATTGATCTAAACCTTACTGGGGTTTTCTTATGTACACAGGTCAATTTGTGAAGTTTTTTTTTTCCGTTTTTTTCCTGATATTGTATCCTAAATCTGAAAACTAAAATTGAAATATTTTGTTATTTGCAGGCAGCTGCCAGAGTCATGATGAAGAAAAAGAAGGTTACCAAATTAGCCATTGGTTTGGGGATTTGATTTTGATTTTTATTTATTTATTTATTTTTTTTGGAATAGTTGCAAAAACTTGAGTTTCAATGAAAAAATGAAAAAAAACAACACTACTTTGATTTTTTATTATTATTATTATTATTTTTTTCAACAAAGCTCCCCTGGTAAGGGTGCAACTGCTAAATTATAAGTAAAAAAATATCTAGAGATTTTTTAAATTGGGCTGTATCTTAAATGACTTCTTCATCAATCCTTTTTGGTACCAGCTCGTGCATGCTTATTCGGTTCTTTGTTTCATCTTACGAATTACAAAGTAAAATAAAATTGATGATTTGACTTTGCAGGGAAGAATAATTAACATTGCCTACAAAGTAAAATAAAATTGATGATTTGACTTTGCAGGGAAGAATAATTAACATTGCCTCTGTTGTTGGTCTTGTCGGTAATGTTGGACAAGCCAACTATAGTGCTGCAAAAGCTGGAGTCATTGGATTCACAAAGACAGTTGCTAAGGAGTATTCGAGCAGAAACATTACTGTGAGTTTTTGCTGAAACCAAAAAATATCTCAACTCAGTGGTGCAAAACTAGATTGAAACTTCAAACCTAAATATGAGCTTTCATTAATTCATTAACAGGCAAATGCTGTTGCTCCTGGGTTTATTGCATCTGACATGACTGCTAAGCTTGGGAATGATTTTGAGAAGAAGATATTGGAAGCCATTCCCTTGGGTTAGTATCTTCATCTCTTTTTAATTGATCACAATCAACTGTGTCCATCTTATTTAAAAATAATTCATTCACATTCAAAATGTAACTCAGCTTTAACCAAAATCCCACTATTACATTAACAAACCAATCATTCTTACACATTACATCAACTTTAATTTAATTTTTTTTTTAAATTAACCCTGGTTAATCGAAAAGACTCATTTGAGCGGATTTATTTGTAAACAAGCACACCCTTAAAATTAAAAATAAACACCTTATAAGCTCTATACATACAAGAATCTTATAAGATTGATTGAAATATGCTCAGGACAAAAAACCCTCTTCATTCCATTTATTTTATTCAAAATCATGTGCTAGTATTTCGTTGCAATAACTAAAAATCGCTGCATAAATTTCAGGAAGGTACGGCCAACCAGAAGAGGTTGCTGGGCTGGTTGAATTCTTGGCCCTTAATCCTGCTGCTGGTTATATCACTGGACAGGTATTAACAGAATTTAATTTATTTTGACATTGTACGTTCACCAAAAAAAAAAAAGAAAAAAAAAATTGCTCGAAGGAAGATAATTATATTTCTTACATTTGTAACATTTTTGACTCAATGGAAGACTCTTAGTTGACACCTGGTTTGTTTTGCTCGAATCTTGTAGGTTTTAACCATTGACGGTGGTCTGGTCATGTAGGCTAAGGTTTGAAAGTTGCTTTTATTCATATGTACCGAGTTTTGGCGTGAGAGGACAAATTTGATATAGTTAGTGTAATATCGAGTTTATCAGTGCCTAGGTAGAGAGAGTCACCTTTGTAGCTCTACCAAATTTTTCAAGATCATATATATTATATATGCCATGGAGACATGGAGTTTATGTAGGAACCATTATGTATTGATTTCCATGATATTGTTCTTGTTCTGGATGATTGATGACTGAATGGTTTTTTTAGTTCTTTCTTTTTTCTTTTCTCCTTTTTCGCAGATTATGTCCTTTTTTCACTAGTTTTCTTCTTCTGATTTAATTTACTATATATTGTATTTTATTTTTTCGTGATAAATCTGAAAGATTCTTTCATGTTATTATTATCATTATATAG